TTTAGTAACATTTTTGGTACTCTCCAACAGGGAAGAACGAGTAGTTAGTGGGTGGGACCGTTCCAGAGAGGCAAACTAAGTACGTCGTTCTTCTGTTAGAGAGGCAGCCGAAAATGTTTACCATGGCCACTCAGACCCACAACAGTTTTAGACAAAGTAATTTATAGATTGTCCATACTGGTAAACAAAAGTTATTACGTGGTTTATCACCACTAATTACTGTAACAGAGAAGCCGTTCTGTTTCCCAATAACTTTTACGCAAGGAAAAAAAATAGTTTTTATTTAAACAAAAGGCCAAAAAATGTTAAACGAATTTTATCTCCGAGTAAACAGGGTAATGTTTAGCCTCGATGCATTATTTACAATGTCTCATAAAACAACAAAGGTATACCAGTTTGAACTACCGCCCTCTGTGTCTGGAAATATTATATTACTTTATGCAAATGTACTTTGGCAAAGTTAACTGTTTTACTTCGTATCCACATCTTTCAATATTTTCAGAGATCTATTAAATTAAATGGCCATTAGATAAATCACATTAGCATCATTCTTCATCGCCTGTGAAGCCTCACTATGGACGTGAAATCTTCTCTCTGTTGTCCAGTTAATCCTGCACCAGAGCTGGCAACTGGAGTTTCTGTACCACCTTTAGAAACAACCCCTTCCCTGTGCAACAATGAAAGGTCACTTGATTTATTTTGTTTTTACGTTTTACTTTTTATTTGCGTCATATTAAATGTTTTATCACGTGTTAACATTTGGTTTTGCATTTTATAATTTCAGAATATATACAATAATTAGCTAATTTATTCTGGATAATAAACTATTCCGACTACACGAGGGATCCATTAAAGCTGCCATTTTAACTGTGTTCACCACCAGTCAAGTATACTATAATTCATAAAATAAGGATATAATAACACTCTTGGCAAATATACAGTGAGGACAACTCTCGGCCTTTACATATCGCCGAGAAAAGTAAAAAATGGTAATAAAATTTGATCCTAGATATTACACAAGCTGCCCAAAAGGCTGCACCGTAACCAATTATCATAATCTAGGATACTTTGGTAAACATTTAAATAACTCTGTTGGAATTAATGTAAAGGTTTGAGTGTACCTATACCGAGGTTTTATACCTCTTGTATCAACTATTGCTCTCGGTGCATACACAACAAGAGTGATATACGGTATCTGAATTACTTAACCCGTGGACATACGAACATAACCCGCACATAGAAGAGAGGAGCTTACGATGGAGTTTAGGTCCTGACTTGTTACCATTACAAACGGTCCAAGTCGGACCGAAATGTTGTCGTAAGCTCCTCTCTCCTATGTGCGGGTTATTTGTGTATTCCAGTCCCCTCAAGGAAGGTTCCTTGATGTTGGTGAGGGGCTCTTGATTTAGGGAATTGGATCTGTGCTCCAGTTCCCCGATTTAAGCCTGAATGCCTTCCACATCCCCCCCCCCAGGCGCTGTATAATCCTCCGGGTTTAGCGCTTCCCCCTTGATTATAATAATAATAATGTGTATTCCAGTCACGGTACTGTCCCATTTTGTTCTTCAAAGTAACATACACCGTGACATGCCTTTATTCTTATCTAAAACACTTTTCAATGTTCCTTTAAAAATGCATTACAAATAAAGCACTTTTTTTCATTTCTTTACTGATCCAAGGGACGGAAGGATAAGTATTTAATTAAGTATACATGCTAATTGCATAAAAAGGGCAAATGTTATATTTCAATTCACCAGTGTCATGTAGGAAAAATTAAACACGATAGTTATAATGCAACGGAAAATAAACTTATTTTGCAACTATTTTTTTTGTATGAGATAAAGTAGAGATAATGAACATAATCTAGGAAATATTTGTAAACATTTTAAAGTGAAGAGAGGAAGGAACGGAGTACATGTTAATTATGTATGATTATGTTATAACGTTTGTATTAAAACCGTATGATTAAGCTTAAATTTATCAATATAGTCTGATGAATAAATCTATAATCTATAATTTGCGTAACATACTAAATTATTTCTAATCTGTATTAGTAAAAGATATTATATGGTATCAGGAATTACAAGTGACTTTCCAAAAAAACACTTATGAGAAATGTAATATATTTTAAATCGCTGCTGCTTCCAAGATTAAAAAAACTTAATGGATTTGTATTCACGTTAACCAGTCAAGGAAGGTTTGAGTATTTAGTGTGGATGGAGTAATACGAAAAACCAGAGACGTGATTAAATCAGTGAGAGAAGGAAAGAGGCTAGGGCTCGTCCGAAGATGAATGATGACACGATGTAAGAGGTTATAAGTTGGTGGCGCTTAAACATCAAGCAGCAGACGTTAAAAATCGCATGCCGCATTCGATTACTCTTTTGACGACGTATATATATATATTATATCTATTATATATATATATATATTATATATTTTTATATTATTATATTTATATATATATATATATATATTATAAATATATATATGTCGTGCCGAAAAAAAATATGTAAAACTGGTCAATTAGCAAGAACTCATTTAAATTAAAGTCCTTTCTAAAAATTTTCACTTATACGTTTAAAGACTACTTTTTCATTAATGTTAATGTAAAATTTTTAATTTGGCACCAAGAGAATCTTAGAAAACTTACCTAACCTTATTTTAACCACGAAAATTTATTTTAGCCCTAACCCACTATATAAATTTTAGATTTTGTTTACAGTAATATTTAAGACTAAACAAACACAGTGAAATGTTTTTTTTTCGTTTAGTTAGGGTTCAGAATGATTTTGGCCGAAATATTGCATACACAAATTTTCGCTTGTCTATTATGGCAAGATGAGCGTTGCTTATTTAAGCCAAGATGGGCAAGTTCTGCCTATTCGAGCACGACTTATTATATACTATAATATATATATTTATTTATATTTATATATATTATATATATATATATATATATTGTGTGTGTGTGTTACAGTGGAGGATCGATCGATCACTATAGCCACACCTCATAAAAAACTTCCGTTAAAAGCCCTTGGTGGTCTCATAACAAAATCTGCGCTAATAAATTTAAGTGCCTGGAGTCTTTTCCTAACAATTCGCAGTTACTGATTCGCACCATGACTCCAAGCATTAAAAAAACATCAATCTGTGTAGTACGAATTCTTTTGCAACTGCCAGTTAGTTTTTTGAACATTAAAAGGAACATTTAGCGAAGTATTTCATTGTTCACTGAAGTCTCCCAGCCCTGGCGGAAATAGGTATTCTTGGGGATATCACATGGATTCTTCCTGGGGATGGGAATTTTAAAAGGGAGTAATACATTTGGAGACTTTAGGGTGTCCTGGCCTTGGGAGGGTGGAATTTAAGGCGAAGGGGGGTTGGGGGGGGGGGGTACACCAGCACTAGGGCCCGGGCCGGCCTGACCAGAGCGGGTCTCGTCGGGAGGCGTACGGAGGGCGAGGGTGCCGTGTGATTGTGGGGGGACAGAACAGCACTCTTAGCCACAGTGAGGATGATTCTGTCCTAATCAGACCATGCACTCGCACATTCACACATTTGTATAGCTATGATTTGGAGGGGTATATTTGGATGATTACTGTTGGCCTAGTGGGATTAAATATCCGGGCGTATTACAAGGGACTATGATGGTATCAATATTGGGCTCATGGATGACTTGCCGGCTCTGCAGGGATAGTCATAATAATGGAAGATTGGAGTTTTCATCATTACGATGGAGAGTCTACACCAACTGCCGGGAGACGCGTTAGCTCTCTCTCAAAGTTCGTCCCACACTGGCGCGTTCCTTCGTATATTTAGGAGTTCAAGTACAGAGCTCAAAGTTCCCTCCCACCCTGCCCGCCTTCTCTGCTGCTTACTGATCCGATATTCATTGTTGCTCCTGTCTCCCTCCTCTCAGCTCCCTTATGCTACGTTGACTGCCTAATTGACTCCTCCCCCTCTCTGATGACTCTCGGCGTGCTCCTACCACGCCTTGCCTCTCTTTCCTCCGCTATCTCACCCTGTGCTATCCCCGCATACTCTGAATTTACTCTATCTCATCCTACGAGCTCTCCGCCGGGCTGTTACTCGCTTCCTCTTCCTCTCTCGATGACTTCGCCGATTACTCGCTGACCAGCATGCTATCTCTGCCGTCTAACCTAATGTATGCATGGAACTCTATAATGAAAACCTATTTACTCTTTTGGAACACTGTGGGGCATTGTCAAAAGAACTCGTCGTTTCAGGACCTTCAGAATGATGATTTTATTTAATACTTATACGGGGTTATTATTTTCCACTCCGCACGCTTCAGCACTTCAGATTTTCACGCACCCACTCTCCCACTGAAACTCTGAAATTTAAATAATCGGAAATTAATTCGAAAAACCAAGTTACGGTACTGACTAAAATATCATTTATTTTAACAAAAGGTAATTAAACTTAATGTATCGTTTTTTAAACTAGGTAATTGGAATTTATTTAAGTTTCATTTTATTAGCTATCTACCGGGAATAAATATCAAGGGTATTGTGAGCATGGAAAGAAAATGGTGTTGTACAAAGTTCCTATCACCATATTTTCGATGTTGGGGTAGAGGTGAATTTAGGTAGATGGGGGTAGAACATTCTCCGTCTGAAGGAAAGAAAAACCAGGAAAAAGAAGGAAAGCAAGAAAAGAAGAACCTACCACTGTTAGAAAAGAAAAAAGAACCTACCACTGAAGGATAAAGAAGAAAAAAAAAGAACCGACCAAAAGAAAAAGAACAGTGAAACGACATGAAAGGAAATATGTACAGGCCACTCTAGTGAAGGAAAAGGGAAAGAAAGAAAGTAATCTCCTCAAAGAACCAAAAAGGGAGAAAAAGAAAAAAGATCCTACCAATGAAGGGACAAAAAAAAATACCATGAAGAGACAAGGAACCTACCACTGAATGTGAGACCCTACCACCTAAAGGAATTATTAACCTTACCACTGCTGAATGAAGGAAGATGTGGTGGTGATGTATAGTGGTGTGTGGTGATCCTGTATAGTGGTGATGTGTGGTGGTATGTGGTTGTATACAGTGAAGTGTGGCGATAAGTTGTGGTCTACTGTTAATTTCAAAATAACCATAATACGTCCTCTGATAACTTAAGGTTCTCTTTCCTTCGTTTTCCCTAGCAATTTATTCATAGACAAACACATGCATAACAAATTCTAGTGAACCCTTATGTAAATCCTCACTGACCTGTTAATCTGTTACTTGAAGTTCAGTGGATCAACCAGTATCACAAAATTTAGTGTTTTCTCTTTGCCAATTGGAGAATGTAACATATCCTTAACATAATGATATGGATACCAACTAACTAATAACGCAGGGCAACGGGATTCATCCGGACCACGTTAGTTGATCCTTTATCTTACCTTCGAAACTGAACGATTTGCTTCAGCACTAACAACCTTAGTCATAACTACTAACCACCTTATTTTTTAACTACAACAAACGTAAGTCGTAGCGAAAATTACGAAAATCATTTATTTTTTACTGTATTTCATGTAAAATGATTTTATGATCCTATAATTACTTATCTTACAAACTATTCACAATCCTGCGCGTCAGTTTTGACCCTTGTGCAACTCTAAGGATTAAATTAAGAGAGGAAGCACGCATTGACGTATCTACTGTGACTATACAGGTAGATGAATCGTGTCAATATTTACCTGTGGAAGAGTCTATCCTCTTGTGCACTTATCAAGTACATCGACAACACACACATTTATAATATATAAATATCTGGCAACAATGCTAATTTTGTGAAGACAATGACACAGTTGCAGAGCAAACTTTTATTTTAGATGTCGCTCTGTGTAGAGCTTCATCAATCACGACATAATAAAGCTCTACACAGAGATAAACGTTGTACCAACATAAAGCTTGACCTGTACCTTGCCTCTGCATTCAGACTGTTGGTTAACTGGACTTAAAGCCGATCGATTACTCAGTGGGTCATTTAGGCTGCATGTCACCTGTTTACCCCAAGTCAGGAAAATTTTAATGGCTTAAATCAGGATACACATACACCTATCGAAGTATATATCCAGTATTTATGCACGTCGGCTAGACGCCATTTCATTCTGAGAAGAATTTTCATGGCCAAATTGGGCTTTAGTAAGAGTATAGAGTATTAATTGACTAGTTTCTTCTTAATTTTGTCAATATAAAACCCATTAATTTTATTTGATTTGGATTGGAAATGACTCTGTTTATCCTTATACACCACAGAAGTTAGAAAGATCTTACGGGACCTAGTGATCTGATGCACATACTAATTTATGATAATCCTTGAAATGATTTATGTCCTAATGAAGATTCACAAGAGAAGGCCAGGTAGGGGATGGATTTGATGCCAGGGAAGAGCCCTTATATTGATCAAACCTTATTACCTTTCATTATAACTGGCGCTAAATGATTACTACGAGTCTTGTGCTTCCCCGTGAGTATAATGATAATGAAATGTTTTAATCAAGTGATGGATACTTTCAGAGCAATATGATTTGATGCACGGCTCATACGTATCGTAAGACCAACAGACCTTTCTCAAGGTAATCGGTAAAATATCATTAGTATTTGTACCCAGACTCGGTAAGAGCCTAGTCGTAAGTGATTGACACACAGCCTCAGACACCATACTGCTAGAGGCTTAGAGAGAAAGAAAAAAAAATATTAAATATGATTCTGTCTTTAATTTAATAATAAGAAAAACATATTGTCAATAATATACAAGTTAGACATCCCCTAATTGTGTTCTTATGAGAGATTTCATATTTTATATAAAAGGCTTAATATAGAGCCATTCAACGCCTTTTTAAGAAGTATCCAATTCATTAAAATAAAAGTTTGTGGAATAAAATGACGTCTGAATTAACATGTGTAAAACCTACTTAGCATTGTTAAAATACACGATGTTGTTAAACGTAAAGGAACGTAGGCAATAAGAAGAATCAGTGGGAAGAGTTGAGAATCTTGTAAAATACTCAGAGAAATCGTAAAACGAGAAACACTCAGAACACACCAAGAGGAAAACATTCACTGAATATCGTCTGTCATTTGGCCAAATGTGGCTAAGTTTAACCCACATTGTTCCTCTTTTTTTTTTTTTTTTTTGAAGTGAGGAGCGACCTGCCCCGGTCTGGTCACTAGGCTTTCCTCAGGAAAAAATCACTGGTTCTTTCTCCTGATGAAGGATCGAACCTCAGTCGTTTTACAGTTTCAATAATATATAACTATTTTTAAACATAAGAAGACTTAAAATATTTGTATTGTTTTATTTAAAATTAGTTATAAATATTCTTTTAGCCGAGCGCTGTGTGCCGCCTGTCTTCTAGTTTGAACATAAGAATAAAGGAACACTGCAACAGGCCTACTGGCCCATACAAGGCAAGTCCTTGTCAAAACCAACCATTTCCACCCACCTATCTGTCCTACGTTTTCTCAAAGCTACCCATGAATTTGCCACAGTACCTCATGTGCCAATCAAACCCAGCCCTTTCACCCATATATTTCTGCTATCTCTTTTAAAGTTACCGAGGTCTTGGCCTCTATTATCCTTCTTGGCCTTTATTACAGACGGAGGGTCGAGCTTCCACCACTGAACGACTCGCTTGGGTTTAACACTTGCAAATGTATTCACTCTCAGAAACTGCAGCATTCACTACAGACTGAAACGTCGGCTTTTACTAGTATTTAGCTAATACTATTCTACTATTCTCACGGTAAAGTAGTGTTTCATGGTGACTGTGATTCAGTTAGTAATTTGGCTCCCACTTCTCCATACATTTTAATCAGGGGGAAGCCCTAAGCCCATGGGAGTCATTTAGCGCCTGGAAAATGGGAAGCATTCAGGTTCGATAAAAGGAAGGAGAGGATAAATTCAGTTCCATGCACTTAAGAACATCCCCCTCATCCCACCCAAACCAGCATCATGGCGTCTCCCGTAAGGGGAGCATCCCTTTGTCATCTCTTGTTTTAGATATTACTCTAGTGAAGAACCTGAAGAACCTATGTGATTATTGGCTTGCTTGGTATAAACCCTGGTAATAGATATCACCAGCTGCTTTAGAAAGACACGTAAACAAACACTAGGACTTATTTATTAGGAAACGTTACGGCCCTGGGACCTTGAGAAACGTTTTCGAACAAATATGTCCAAGTGTTTGCTTATTTGTTTGCCTAAGCCATTGGCTTGCTTGATGGGATATGGTTAGAAATGCCTTTATAACAAAAGGAGACCTTAATTAGCATTACATTTCATCTACAAGAGGCGTTATCAAGCTATAAAAGTTCATGTAGAAAAAACGACCTATTAATTAATGCCTTCTCTTGCTGTATGTCTGTTTACCACTTTTCAGCTGTCATACTTCAGCTACTGGATGAGAGACGTCAGTTGCACCACTAAAGGTTGATGAGAGATGTGATTTTCAATCGACATTATTATTATCATTTTTTAAATGTGAAGGAATAAATCCGTGTATGTTATTCAGCGCGAGGACTTCTTGTCCTGATCTTCCCTTCGTAAATTGCGAAACAGAAACTCTGCGAGGCTTTCCTCGTTAATCACAATAGTCTTATTTATTCTTTGTATTGTGAAAACTGCTCATAGCACAGATGTTGCTTAACAATTCCTTCCTGTCTCTCTCCTTCGAGTCATCACGGACTAAGTCATCACTAAGTTGCAGACCCAAAGGTTCTCGCAGAGAGGCACAAGTCATAAATGATGACGCATAAGTCACAGAGGCAATCGTCATATACATCGTTGTAGGATCCGCCAATCATCACACGAAACTCTCGCTGGGTCGTCGCGTGCACGTGGCGGAAAGTGTGTGAAATCTTGATTCTGCGCCTGGATCGTGAGCCGGCGGCGGAGGGCGCGACAAGGTGCTATATTGACCCCAGGTCTGCCCCAAGGAACGCCCTAAGGACCCGTACATCATGCCCATCATTCCTGCGCCGCCGCCTGCGCCTCCTACGCTCATGACAGCACCGGCACCAGCTACACCGCTGCTGCAGGGAACAGCTCCCAGCACCCCAGCGGTGGCGCTGCAAGCCGAAGGCGAAGAAGATAGCAGCATAGCTGATTCCGTAGAGTACCCCATCCCACACTGCAAAAAAATGTAATACTGTGATTAATATTATTTTACAGTACTAGCAGTATTACAGCTATTGTTACTGCTAATACTACTACTACTACTACTACTACTACTACTACTACTACTACTACTACTACTACTACTATTATACTACTACTATTACTGCCACTACTACTACTAAAACTACTACTACTGCTTCTACTACTGCTTCTTCTACCACTCGTTCTACTACTACTGTTACTATTGCTGTTGCTGCTCGTATCATCATCATCCCCACCATCACCACCACCACCCACCACCACATCACCCCACCAACCATCACCACCCACCATCACCACCCACCCCCATCACTCACCACCACCACTATCACCACTACCACCACCACCATCACCACCATCACCACCCACCACCATCACTCACCACCACCACTATCACCACTACCCCCACCACCATCATCACCACCCACCACCACCACCATCACCACCACCCACCACCACCACATCACCACCACCCACCACCATCACACCACCCACCACCACCACCATCACCACCCACCACCACCATCACCACCCACCACCACCACCACCACCACCACCACCATCATCATCACCACCATCTCATCACCACCCCCACCACCACCACCACCCCACCACCACCATCACCACCACCCACCACCACCACAGCCCACCACCACCATCATCATCATCACCCCCACCATCACCACCACCATCACCCCCCACCACCATCACCACCACCATCACCACCACCCACCACCACCACCATCACCACCCACCACCACCACCACCACCACCATCACCACCACCTTTCACCACCCACCACCACCACCCACCACCATCACCACCCACCACCAACCACCATCACCACCACCACCATCACCACCGCCATCACCCCCACAACCACCACCACCACCACCATCACCACCGCCATCACCACCACCACCACCACCACCACCACCATCACCACCACCACCATCACCACCACCACCCCATCACCACCACCATCACCACCACCACCACCACCACCACCCCCTCACCCTCACCCTCATTGCTACCCTGCTAATTGAACCTTCAGTGCTGGTGGGATTTTCTCAAAGGTGGACTCTGAAGGACTTAGGATCATGTTGATCCCGGTGGTTTAGCGATTAGTTTTGATTATAATAATAATTTGGGCTAAGTAAGTTTTAATTTGCCAATTTTACTAGACAACAAACTGGGTACTGAGCAATAACTATAAACTACTCATTCACAATGCTGAAGCATTTTGGAGAAAGGATTGAAATGACTTTAGGTTAGGAAGATGCCTATGGGCCATTTTTTTTTTTAAATACCGAGTTATATGAAATAATTTGTAAATGCCTCATTCGACCAGTTTCGAACCTTAAACGTGAATAACTAGCGGAATAAAAGCCTTTCGAACCCGAACCAAGAAATTAGAGCCGACCTTTTATGAATTCAGCTAGCCCTGATTACCGCTCTTTTCCCTGTCGAAAATATTAAGAATTAGTACTCACCTAATTGTACTTACCCAGTTGTGGTTCCAGGAGTCGATTCACAGTTCCTGTCCCCGCCTCTTCACTGGTCGCTACTAGGTCACTCTTCTTGTCTACGTTGATTTTAGCACGTTCACTCATGCATTAACTAATATACGTGTTCCGAGAACGTTATGTACTCACCCGATTACTCGTACAGGAACTGTAGAGAGAATCAGACGTGGGCTTAGAGTCCAGCCTGGAATATTCCCGGGGTGATCCTGGACGAGGAGAGAAAAATATATATATTCATACCTGGTCACAGACCGGGCCGCGGGGGCGTTGACCCCCGGAACTCTCTCCAGGTGGTTTAGAAAGACACGTAAGCAAACACTATAACATATTTATTAGAAAACGTTTCGGTCCTGGGACCTTGATCACTTCTAACATACAGAGGTAGAAAGACATTATATATATAGGCGGAGAGTGAGATGTGACGCACGTGACCTGAGGAATGTCATAAGGACATAAGAATGGAGGAACACTGTAGAAGGCCTACTGGCCCATGCGAGGCAGGTCCTTATCAAAACAACCTCTGCCTATGATGAGGACGGGTAGACGATGAAATCATGTGACTCCTGTGTTGTTGGGTTGGTGCTGCTTAAGTATCATGTATGCCAATGTTTTTGAAATTTTGTAGTTTCCAGTGTTTCGTTCTATAGTGTCGGTGACGGTGATTAGTGAGGCTTCTAGGCACCGTCGGCGTCTGAGGTCTGGTTCGGTGAGAACGAGTTGTGCCTCGTTCCAGTTCATCAAATGCCCAGTGGAGTCTCTGTGGAGGACACAGGCGTACCTTACATCGTCTCTGTTAGAGGCATTTCGATGCTCATTCAGGCGGACTGCAAGATCTCTGCCTGTCTCGCCTACATATTTCTTGGGACAGAACCCACAGGGGATAATAAATATGTTATAGTGTTTGCTTACGTGTCTTTCTAAACCAACTTGTCGGTATTTATTACCAAGGTTTATACCATCTCTCCAGGTAAACTCTCCAGGTAATACCTTATGTGAAACCCCAGGTGCTTCAAGATAGGAACATTAATAATTTTTCTACTGGTAAATATACACATGTGCAACTAATGTGACTTTTTTTTATAGTGGCAACGTTTCGCTCTGCAGGAGTTTTGACAGAGCTCCAGGAGAGTGAAACGTTGCCATAATAAAATGTCGCATCAATTGTACATGTCTCTTTACATAAAATATTGTCGGTAATGTTACCAACATTATTACTGTTTTTATGATTTTTATAATGTTTAAATACCAGTATGGATATTTAAACGCGAAAAGCGCTTGAGGCTCGACCCTCCATCCGCTAATAACTATCATTCAGTATACTTATTTAAACTGTTATTGTTATTGTTATCACCAACTGGTTTTAAAACTGCAGTTGTTGATGTTATAGATGTTGCTGTAGTTGATGTTGATGTAAGAAGTGTTGCTGATGCTGAGGTTGCTACATCAATTTAAGTCACATAAGTCATCAATGATCAGGAAAGTCATTAAGAATACAGTTATCAATTCTCAACCCAATAACAGTGAAATATTTCATCAGAGTTATATAGCTATCAAGTGCCACCTATGTGGCCAATTATTAAGTCATCAGTGATCGAGCAGTTCTTTCACTGCAATCTGTTCTCACTGGTGTTGTGGCTGTTGTTAATCCTAGAGGAGAACGCGTTGCTGTTCCCTCGTGTTGCCATTGCAAAGCAATTCTGTGGAACAAACTGCCTCAGTATATCTTCCCTGACACCTTTGCTCTGCAATTTCTCAAGTGGTCTCTGTGGAGATATCTTTTAGACTACAGCTTTAGAGGGAAGTTGAAGACTGAGACACTTGTGCAACATATGGGAATCTTTATTAAGGAAACGCCACACAGTAGCTTCATCGGTCCAATACTAAGCAGGAAGGGGTAAGGAGAGGAGGAGTTTGAGGCAATCAGTCCCTCAGCCTGGAATCGATGTGTTCAGTCCATCACTTTTGTAGAAAGTACAGCGTATATTAGGTTAGGTAAGGTTCGTCAGGAAACAGGACAAATGTTTCCTGATGCGGGTCTTAGCCAGATGATGACCCGCCTTTGGAGCTTTTGATCATCTGACCGAGGCCTTCCGCTGGCTTACCGGTCCACCTCTTTAAAAATTATGGCCATTTATAACCATTGTTATTTCAGCGTATGTTCGGAGCAGTGGCTTATATACTGTAGTCAGGTGAGGGGCGGCAGGAGGAGGTGGGATCACAGTGGAACCATCCACTTGTGTAAGTAGGTCTTCGTCCAAAGGTTGAATAAGTATTGAAGAATTCCTTGAATCAAGATCCCATGATGTTGTAGTATCTAACAGATGTGATGAATGGTTTTGAAAACCGGCAAGTTGAAGAGAGAAGAGGGAAATGTGTGCGTTGATGCCGTTAACATGGTTGTTGTTGATCAGAGGACGTGAAGATGCTCTTCCCTGGATCCAAACTAATTACGTCCTGTATCCCACTGGATTTAGCGTTTCCATGTATATGCAATAAGTAACATGTTCAAGATAGGGATGAAAAAAATTACCTGCTCAGGGCTCAAATAATTTATGCACAAATTAAAGAGGTTAAAATAATACAATAAGCTGACCTGGGTCCTGAACAGTGGAGAGTCCAAGCTGTTGCTGCTGCTGCTGTTGTTGTTGCTGCTGCTGCTGCTGCTGTTGTTGCTGCTGCTTCAGTGCCTCCTCCGCCAGTTCATCTTCGTCAGGCCTAACAACACACATAAGTTTCACTTCTACGGAGCTCCTCCTGCCGTTTCCACCCGGCCTGTTGGTCGCCCCTCGCAACTCATCGTCCTCACTATCGTCGCTTCTCGCCCCTGTACCGTCGTCGTCTTCCTCTCTAGCTGTGGCTCTGGCACGACACCTCAGCTTCGTGGCCACAATGATGACAGTGAGAGTGAGCACGAAGGCAGCCAACACACCAATGAAGAGAGCAAGCAAGGGAGACGCTCCCTTGCCGGGCCCGCCACCCCCTGAATCTGACGAAAACACAGCATATCAAGTATATAAGTGTGTGTGTGTGTGTGTGTGTGTGTGTGTGTGTGTTGTGGTGTGTGTGTGTGTTTATGTCCCAGAGTATCATCATATCGCAACCCTTCGTAACCAAAATACCTGTGACATGTATGTACCTTCTTTCAATGTTTTGTTATACGTTATGTCAGCCTCTCAGGCTAGCTTGCTGGTGTGTAGGGAAATTATAGAGCAGCGACTACCTCCAAGTGGTGAGTTCTGGGTATTTTGGGTGACTGCAGGTAAATATTCATGCAAACTAACTGAGAGCTGCTCACACTGTATACAGTATTTTTTTTTTGTTTGGAGAATATATACTTCCCCTTCCTTGGATCAAATTTAATCAATCAAATCTAATTCAATCCCTTGGTGTTTACCTCTTCCCAATGGATGTAACAAGAACAACAATAAAAATAGCATTAATAATAATAATAATAATAATAAATAATAATAATAGAGCTATCTGTGTTTGTAACATTTATAGTCTCATTTGTCTCAATTCCTGAAACCAAGGCAGTTAAAACTCTGGAATTCCCGTGTTATGTACAACTGTATTGCCGAGACTACTGACGGTGGCTTCTAGGCATTGAAGCTTTTGTATATCTTTCACTTCTTCCTTGATGAGAAGTCTCGCATGATTTCACTTAGTGATTATTGTTATTTCTGTGAAGAACACATTGCCAGCACTGCATGCATATTTATGCTCAGACACAATGAAATTTTAGCTGCATAATGTAGCTAAAGTACGCTGAAGTGCTCTTTAAAGGGACATTGGTAAAAGTTCCTTGCAGTCTACCACCCCATATACTGTATACAGTATGTTCTTGCATTCTGCAAATTGTATGACATATATTCCAGACTGCTGCACTTGTGGAAGTCATGTTGAGTATGCCAGTAATGGAAGCACTGGTGGTGATAGCCACTCTAAGGTTAAACTTACGCAGTGGCTACTGTTAGTAGCCACTTCAGTACTGTAACCTGAGCTTTGCCAGGTTTCTGAGTGTTGATGATCCACAGAGAACGACATTTGCAGTTACTGATGAAATTAGAGGGGGAGTTGTAGTTTAAACACGTGGAATTTAGTCAAATTCCTAAACGTGCTTATACCCTACTGATGGAACAAGAACTAGATCGCCACTTGTGTTGTTAATGGAGAAAGATTGCTATAAAAACTTGTAGCTGACTTTTTTCAAATGGTATCGTCTACAGACAATACTAAATATGGGAGGTTGTCGCCTTCCCGTTGTAACCACCACGGCGTAGTGGTCGAACAATGAAAGCATCGTGTTCAACTCCTGTCTTGACTACCACGACTTCGACGTGACAAAGGGGTAATGACGACGTGGGAGTGTTAAACAAGCCACCATTTTATTCTACACCCTTCTCCGCTTTCCCCTCTCATCTTTCCCCTCTCCGCTTTCCCCTCTCTCTTTCCCCTCTCCCTTTCTCCTCCCCCCACCTCTTTTTCCTACCCCCAAAACAAGCAGAAACAGGACTGCGTATTCGCGAGAACAAGACGCCAACAGCAATAATGTTGCTGTTAATACCAAAGATAGCTGTCAGCTATCTTTGGTTTCAAAAACTGGTTGACATAGATAGCTGACATTGGCACCACTGATATCGACACCACCAGTGAGAACAGAACTGATCTATTCTTGAAAAAAAGAGGAGATTTAGAATAGGAATGGCTTTACGGGAAGGAACCCTGATGTTGGTCAGTGCTCTTGATCCGAGAAATCAGAGCTCACCCTCTTCCATTCTCCGAACTGTACATATATTTTGCTAACTACTTTAACTGACATGTTGACATGAATAGAAGTACTATCAGAGTACTGATATGAACATTAAGTAAGATAGATGAGAGTATTCTGTAACCTATATTACTAAGCATATCTAACAGAGTCACTATGCCTATCTGTCCTCAGTTACTATGTATACTGGTTATCGGTTAGTATGTATATTTACGCTGGCTACAGTATTATGCATATATGTCTTTAGTTATTACGTATATCTCCCCGAGTTAGTATGACATTTTGTACATTATAGTATGAAAGTTGTTTATTACTGCTTATATAAATAAATAATAAATAAATAAATAAATAAATAATTATATATATATATTATATATATATATATATATATATATATATATATATATATATATATATATATATATATATATATATATTATATATATAGGAACATTATCTCTCAGTCCACAGCAGGATTCGAACTTAAATACTCTACATCAAAGTACTTAATACCTTCTCCATTCGGCCAGATCCCAGATCTGGGTAATACGGACTTTGATGCAGAGTATGTAGGTTCGAATCTTGCTGTGCACCGAGAGATATCTTTGTAATTAATTTCACCTGTCTACCACGACTTACTGTGTATATTATTACAATTCACAATACAATAGCAGTAGCAGTACAATACATTGTATTTTTGTCACATCTCTTGTTTACTTACTCTCTTTATGTTTTCCATCAATTTCATATTGCTAAGTCGTTTTTTTTCCATTCTGTTCAAGCTCCCTTTCGCTATGTTGTTGTTATTTCGTTTGTTTCCTGGCTTTGTTTACCCTCTCGCTGCAATGTCGCCACGTTCTTTGTTTGCTCACCATGTTTACTCTCTTTGTTATCAGCTATGCCGTTTGTTCGATAGCCCTGTTTACCCTCTCCAGATCTTGCATCATTCCACTGGGAGGATGCAGGTGCAAAACATTGAGGAATCGCGTTCCAATCTGATGTATATTGCAGAGTAAAGAGGCGAGTCATGCTAGCAATCATCACCCTCTTCCTCCCGTGCTTGTGTGTTGATCCTTTCAAGGGAGATACCTTGATGAATGTGAAGGACGCTTGATACGAAGAAATGAAACAGCCCTACCGTTCCTCGGGTCCAACCTGATTTTCTTTCATCATCCAGGTGATGTGTGACCTTTACGGGCGTTGCGTTTCCCGATGAATATAATAATATAAACAACGATGATGATGATAATGATACTGTTCTTATGTAAGCTTTTCAACAGTAGCCGCAAGCATTAATGGACAAGTTTGGGAGGGTGAGTAAATGAAGGATATATGGATATTAAAAGTGAGTGTAGAAAGGAGGAATGATGGGAGCAATAAAATGTTCCGGAAGTGTAAAATTTAAGGGAGTATACCTGGAGGGTGTTCCGGGGGTCAGCGCCCCCACGGCCAGAGGAAGCGAAAGTATATAGAGTTTGAATGATGAAGCGAATCATAGAATAGATGGGGGGGGAAGAGTAGAAGTGTTGAGTTTTGTGTGGAAAGAATGAAGTTTATTTCTGGAGGAATACATAAGAGGTGTACGAAGTGGTACCAACCCATTTGTATGCATGTGAGGCATGGTCTTTAAACGTTGGTGCGAGGAGACTGGAGGCAGTGGAGATATGTTCGATGGTGATACGTGGTGTGGCTATTATGGAAAGAATTCACGGCTTAGAAATTAAAGACGGTGAGAGCTACGAAAGGTAAAATTTAAGTAGGTAGAGGGAGAGTTGTTGAGATGGCTTGAGTATTTAGAGAGGATTGAGCAGAATAAGATGCCTATGAGGGAGTAGAAATCTGGGATGGATGGACAGAGGGGCAGGAGTCGTCCAAGAAAAGGGTGCCGTGAAGAGTGTTAAAACTTGAAGTGATGGAGGCTTGAATATCCAGCAGGACTATGTGCCTGTTAGACTGGAACAAAGACAAGTGGTTTCAGGGATTTGATGTGCTGTTGGAGTGTAAGGAAAGAAACATTTAAGGGGTAAACGAAAACCGGTTGGATGATCTTGTGTCCTGCAGTTGGAAATACTTCACCTACGCTCTCAAAGGTAAGAATGTTGTAATTCAAGGGTCATTCGAACTGTAACATTTGCACACTTCTGCCAAGTAAGATACAGAATAAATGGGGGTGAATCTTTTCTTTACAAGTTAACTGTACCTTGGTGAGAGATAGACAATTTAGAAAAAAAAATATTTACATCAACGATTACTATAAAATACGCTAATAAATAACAAAAAAGGCACAATACCGTGACTGGAACGATACACAAATAACCCGCACATAAAAGAGAGAAGCTTACGACGACGTTTCGGTCCGACTTGGACCATTAACAAAGTCACACTAATGGTCACAATGTCTTTTTCCAATAACCTTCCTGTATCACAACCATTTTTTACCACACCAATAATAATGATTCTAATTGTTATATTTATAATCATTATCATCATCATTCCTATCTGGGAGGTCGTAGATTGCAATAGAAGAAATATATTAATAGATTGGAAAATAATAAGAGTGTTCACAATGTCTTGTTGAAACACAGGACATATTTCAATTCGATTTTCAGCAATTTCCGTTTGTAAATCGTGCATGATATTGCAAACCGTCAAACAGTCGACATCCAACAAACAGGCACTGAATAGCTAGACATGAATTATAATATTATTCACGACTTTTGCAGTGATATTCTTGCGTGAGGTATATGCGACGTTGATGATTAGGAATTTTGCGGTGTTATTCCTGTATTTACATGACGCGACGTTGATGATTAGGAATTTTGCGGTGTTATTCCTGTATATACATGACGCGACGTTGATGATTAGGAATTTTGCGGTGTTATTCCTGTATATACATGACGCGACGTTGATGATTAGGAATTTTGCGGTGTTATTCCTGTATATACATGACGCGACGTTGATGATTAGGGATTTTGCAGTGTTATTCCTGTATATACATGATGCTAACTAGTGGATTACCTTACCGTATTTTCCGGCATATAAAAATCTTAGATAATCAGCCTGTGCCTTGTATGTTCAAGGTCAGGGTCAAAGGTAGGCTTTGGGTTACACTTTAGCAGTTGTTTACTAACGTTACGTTACAACTAATGGGAAGCATCGTCTTATATGTTGGCGCGCCTTATATGCCGAAAAATATGGTACTAAATACAATAAAAGCAAACAATAAAATAAGTCAATTTTGAAAAAGAAAATGCTTGACGACAGAAGAAAAACAGTCATTAATAATAATGAAAATTCTCAAGACATCTTTCACAATATTTTGCTCTAACTTAAAATACTTTGCAATATTTTACGGTCTTTTACAATAATTTACATTTATTTACGATCTTTTACACTCTTGAAATATAATTCAACGAAATAAAATCAAAATTTTTTTTTTGCATTTCTACCACTTTAATGTATTAAAACAAGTAATGGATCAATTGTTGTTGGTGTCCCAACACCTCGGCCATTAACCCCTTGACAGAACACAGAATTATATAAAAATAAATTTCCTTAACGTAAAGTTTATACTCACCACTTAAAGTCAAATGAGCTTAAAGTCTAATTCCCTCAGGCGTGACTCCTTCCTTTGATCTTCCAATAGTTCGCCTGTTCGACTTTCCATTTGTTCATTATTGTTAAAATAATTATTTTTTATCATTGGTAATAATTTTACGTGTTATAATTTGTGTTATAATGAGGTATCTGCTTGATATTAGTAAAATTCTGAGCATTGTCAGCATCCTCCTTCATTGCCTACACACGAGGGGTTTGTTGATAATTTAGAGTAGAAAGTGTACGAAAGTGTATGATAGTTTCATTTCGCTCGAAATGACACAGAAGTTTCTTTTTCGGTTAGTTGAGCTTAAGTTAGGCTTGATTCTTAAGTTAGGCTTGATTCTTAAGTTAGGCTTGATTCTTAAGTTAGGCTTGATTCTTAAGTTAGGCTTGATTCTTAAGTTAGGCTTGATTCTTAAGTTTGATTTGATTCTTCAGTTAGGTTTGATTCTTAGGTTTGATTCTTAGGTTTGATTCTTAAGTTAGGTTTGATTCTTAAGTTAGGTTTGATTCTTAATTTAGGTTTGATTCTTAAGTTAGGTTTGATTCTTAGGTTTGATTCTTAAGTTAGGCTTGATTCTTAGGTTTGATTCTTAAATTAGGTTTGATTCTTAGGTTAGGTTTGATTTTTAGGTTTGATTCTTAAGTTAGGTTTGATTCTTAAGTTAGGTTTGATTCTTAAGTTAGGTTTGATTCTTAAGTTAGGTTTGATTCTTAGGTTTGATTCTAAGTTAGGTTTGATTCTTAGGTTTGATTCTTAAGTTAGGTTTGATTCTTAAGTTAGGTTTGATTCTTAAGTTAGGTTTGATTCTTAAGTTAGGTTTGATTCTTAGGTTTGATTCTAAGTTAGGTTTGATTCTTAGGTTTGATTCTTAAGTTAGGTTTGATTCTTAGGTTGGATTCTTAAGTTAGGTTTGATTCTTAGGTTTGGTTCTTAAGTTAGGTTTGATTCTTAGGTTTGATTCTTAAGTTAGGTTTGATTCTTAAGTTTGATTCTTAAGTTAGGTTTGATTCTTAGGTTTGATTCTTAGGTTTGATTCTTAAGTTTGATTCTTAAGTTTGATTCTTAAGTTAGGTTTGATTCTAACCCAATCAAATGCAACCCAGCTAAATCCAGACTAACGTAACCTAAATTTACAAAATGTAAACTTAACCAAAGGAAATAAATACATAGTCTTTAGTGGTACTCACATTTTCAAGGCAGAAGTTTTTAATGCAAGAATCATTCCTTGGTGTTTAAATAGTTTTATTCTACATTTGTTTCCCCTCAAGGGAAGTTCCTTGACGCTGGTGAGAGGCTCTTGATCTAGGGAATTGGATCTGTCCTCCGGTTCTCTGAATTGAGTCTGAATTTATTCCGTCCCCCCCCCTCATATGCGCTGTATAATCCTGGGAGTTTAGCGCTTCCCCATGATTGATTATGATGATACAGTTTGATATACTTAGGTTGCTTACTGTATCGTAACAATTTAGCAAGCAAACTCTGTTGTCAACGGAGCATATTATTGGAACGGTGACTTATAAACCTAACCATTGAAAGGCCTGGTGCTCATTTTACCACGTACAGTCATCCTTTCTTAAAAGTACTATTGCGGCTAATATTTCCTAAGATAGTAATTTGTATTAGATATATTCTATTTTTCTTATGGTTTAGATACTTTGCTTATATGTTAAGAAATAGGTAAACGGCCGTGGAGCAAATTTAAAATTGGTTGGAATACATTAGTTACTAGGTTTTGTAACTCCTATTTATCTGTCTCCTATTATTGCAGCAGCTATAACAAGTAGTATTTAATATTATTTGCGTTCATTTTACCATTGAATCTCTCGCTGATACTCAAGTATTCATATATTTTATAGTTTGTATATAAACATGTGAAACAGCTTTGGTGACTGCATACGTCCTTGTCTAAGACAGTTTTTTTGTACAGAAATTTTTTTTTTTTCCTACAGAGCCTTTGCCTGAGTTTCGCTTTCCTCATAAAATTCCTTTGTAATTTTCAACATTTTAGCAACGCTTCCTTACTTTTCCCACAGTAGTATCTCCCACGAGAGTTGGGTTATGGTCTAGGGAATGTTAAAACACACGACACTGTCTCCTACCTAATGCTGCACACATCTCCAACGACTAAGAATGGCCTCAAGGGGCGACGAAGGACGTGGCACTCTACCAGTCGGCTTCTAAACTTTTTCAAGAGGATAGCCACTATCAGATTCGGTTACCCAACAGTCTGTGTTTTCCTGCTGGACGGGGCTTAAGGAAGAGATGAGTCTGTAGGAAAACGGTCTAAGGCAGGGGTCCCCAACCTGCGGTCCGAGGGCCGAATGTGGCTCTTATAGGAAATGGATGCGGCCCTCACATGAAATTATGAATTCATTTTTATGAAGGTTCCAAATTGCACAGCGTCAACAATTACAGAATATGACTCACGAAATCGTAATGACACGAGTGCAAACATACCATACCATGGGTGGGGAGTGAACTCGTGGCAAGTGAGGCATAAAGCTCCAGGCCAGTAAGTCACTGGGCCAGTTGGCTAAAATAAAATTCATCCAACTAGGTATATTTATACACCATAGAGAGGGTAGCACAGGCCACACTGTGACCACAAATGTAAATTGTATTTCTAGTCACAGTGGGGCCTGTTCGTGTTAACTTTGGCCCGTTAAGTGTTAATTTTGAAAACAAAAATCTAATTATTTTATTGCAAATAACTAATTGTATTAATTAGTCAATGCACAATAAATCTAAATCATTGAGGAACTCTGAAATGTATATATTTTTTTTATTTAAAAATAAATGGGGGTTTGAAATTGGGACAAAATTGGGTCACCAGTGTTTTTTCATACAAAATCTGTCCGGCAACATTTGACCAGTCAGCTGGTTGTCCAACAGCTTGCACTTAACTCATTTCTTTTAGTAAACATTTATGAAACACAACCGCTTACTCTGATCAAACTTTACTGGTTAAGTTCTTCCATGTATGATGATGATGATGATAATAATTATAATAATATAATAATGATAATAAAAATTTTAGCAAACATATGATCCCAATTTGATTTCAGTGGTTCCATTATCTCACAAACTTTCGCCTGATTCATACTAGAAAGAGTTCTGAATCTTGCTAAATGTTGTAACTTATTTCAAAATATATGAAGAAATAAACATCACAGTACTGTAGTTTGACCAAATGTCCAATAACTCACGCTTGGAGAGAAATCTTTAGACCACGTTTCGGTCCCCTTTGGACCATTTTCATAGTCCTGGACCATAATCATGGTCCAGGAGAAATCGAAACAGTCTATTGTTTCGCTACAATAGAATGTTTTTGTGTGGTGCACATTTTCTTTTTAAAGGGACGTAATACCTACCAGTATACCTTGTTATGTGATATTTTTTTTCCGGGTGGGCTGATAATACATTGTGATGTCCAATATACCTAGAGTATACCTGGAGGGTGTTCCGGAAGTTAACTCCCCCGTGGCCTAGTCCATGACCAAGTTTGGCATGCTAAGAGTTTAATGAGTAGCGCCCCCCATCGTTATGCTAGTGCCGTATTGACTATGATTCGCTATAGATTTCACGTATAAAGGAGTAATACAGAGCAAAGTCTCGCTTAAGAAGACTGGTAGAGCCCTACATGCTTCAATTTCTGTAAACGCCACTGTAATATCCACTTGGACGCGATTAGCGACTCGAACCTTGAAGTCTTTTTGATGACTAGCCAACAACACTCACCCATGCGGTTCTCAGCGACCTTAAGTGAGAAGCCATCGAGCAGGTAAGGTGGTGACCAGCCTCTGCTATTGTAAGAAAAGACCTTGACAGCGTAGTCGAGCCCAGGTGCCAGTCCACCAATACTGAACTCCGGTGAGACCGAAGTAACATTGGCTACCACACGGTTGGCCAGAGGTTCCATAACCTGCAGTGAAGGTGAGAGGGATGAGAGAGAAATGAGATAGCGAGGGATATGGGGCAACAAATATAGTTTAATACATTTATGCAACCCATACCCATCCTGTGGGTGGTAGTGAAAAGATTGCAGAGGCCCATGATTGGTCCAGGTATTGTGTCTAACGTTACAGTAGTCATGAACAATTTACAAATTGATGATCTGGTAACAGCTGGAAATAGTTGTTTGTACACACATGAATTTAGTTACAAAAATATTAAATTGTCACTTGTATGGAGTTATGAGTTATTTATAATGCCCAATATTTAGCAATGTATAATTTATTTTAGACAATTTTAAGTGGGTGTTATGTCCAATAGCCGAAGTCAGGGTATTTTTCTAGAATAGCTGGTAATATGCCACTGTGGATAAAATACTGACAATTCTTGAACGTGTGAGAGGAAGAGGAAGATGGGAAACTGAGAAGCTATGATGTGAGAATGATATTAAGAAATAAAGATAAATGAGTTGATAGTGTTTATGTGGGAATGAGGATATGAAGAAGGAATAACTGAAAAATAATGATGGGAGAATTGAGAGAGAGAAAATGAATAAGAAGGGTGTGAATATGTGGGAATAAGTAAAGAGAAAAATGGATATTAATCAAATAGAGGTGTTTTTCTAATGCACTGCATTACCTTGCAGAATTAACAATTGATAATAGGAAACAATAATAAAAACTGTTGGATTTACTCTAGAAATTAAAAAAATGGGTACTAATGATATTAAGAAAGTACGACAGAGTTAGCATTTTGTGAAATAAAAATGTCTTAAGAAAAATTATATATATATATATATATATATATATATATATATATATATATATATATATATATATATATATATATATATATATATATAGATGGGGTCCACCTCTGGTGTAAATTGTGGGACCCATAGCCTCGGAGAAGTGGATAAAAAGGCTTCAAGGAAGAATATTTGGATTTCTTCCTGAAGCCATTTGAATATTCCACTTCCCCTACCACCCCATCTTTTAAACTATTTTTTTTACCAATAGGAATATTTTATTACATAATATGGCACAGAAGATTTAAGAGATACATTGTTGATATAAAGGTGGCATATACGGTACATGTTGTTACGTGTGTATCACCGATTATAAGGCGAAAATCTCATCCAGCTCCTCAGAGCTGGGGCATGTGCCCAAAATGCAGCATGCATTACCCTTTGAACAGCCGCACTGAGCCGCTGGAACAGAAAACTAGCTGCCCTGGGATCCCTAGTTACCCTGATGAGTCTTTTTCCCAGCTCCTTAAGGAAATTAGATGCACTCTTTCCCCATGAGCCAAGGGTCTCTGAGCCTATGGGAACAAACATATAATGATGGGCAAGTTCTCCATATTTTCTAGACTTTTGGGACTCCCTAAAGCTGGCAGCTGCCCCTCCTTCCTCCCTGGTGTATTGGAGATAGGTATCAGCCAAGGTAGATGCACATGTATAGTCCCACACCACCTGCTTCCATCTGTCCAGGCTTGAAGGGTGATACCATCTGGACGCTTCTGGCTGCCATCAGATCTGCATAGTTGGGGTGGCTCCCTTACTGCTGGGCATCCAGCTGTTGTGAGGCTCCTCTTGATAATGTTATTAACCTCCTCATGTCTTGCAATCTTTCCCTCGGATTTACGGCACACAAGACCATGGTACCCGAATCGGTCTGCTGCTTCACTGCCACAAATACACCTGTGTTCGGCGAGAATAGGGGCGGCAAGTCGAAGGGCAACACCGATGCGGATGGTCTGTGGGTCGAGGCGTGTGCCAAGGCTGGAGTTGGGAACAGCCAACAGAAAGTCCCCAGCATGAGGGGCTTTCACTGCCAGCAGGCGGGCTCTATCCTTCCCTGACACACTCTGAAGCATCGTTGAGGCTATATTTTCCACTATTGGACCATCCCAGTGCGATTGTTTGTAGTTGTTGGGGGGAGCAGGTCTGGTTTCTGAGCCGTTAGATTATCCCAGATCATTGCTCCGTCAATGAATTTTTGGTCCTGGGCTCCAATCTTGTCCCTAAGATGTTCAGGGAGAATCGCTGCTACAAGCTCTCTGGATGCAATACACGAGGACAGAAAAGCAGGTAACGCAATCTGTGATGACTTGCGGACACCAATGCCTCCTAGTCTGACTGGAAGTGTAGCTTGGTTCCACTGCCCGTCTTCTAGAGTAAGGTTAAGTACTTTCGTAAAAATCTGCCTCAGAATACTGTCATATTCGTGCAGTATAGGGTTATCATATGAAGGTGCACATCTTAGGAAATATGTCAACCTGGGCAGTCTCAAGCACTTTGTGAGAAGGTACAAGGCATCGTGGGTGTCCAGATTGCCTATTCGTTGTTCCATTCTCCTTAACTCTTCCAATTTCTTCCTGAGAATTGTGTCAATGGCATTGCTTCCAGAGGTGCTCCTAGCAAGACATGTATTATATATATTATATATATATATATATATATATATATATATATATATATATATATATATATATATATATATATATATATATATAGTCCTGACACATACACTCACATGGAGGAGGCGGGGTCAAGAGCTATGAATCGACCTCTGCAACCACAATTAGGTGAGTACACACAAATCTTAGTAAACAACCCTAGTCGTATTATATTATTTCTGTCATATTAATATATTTATAACTGAGAAGCAAGACCTCGTGGCCGCCGTAGGTGGGGACTAACTCCTCCTGCAGTAATGGAAGAGTTGTGTAGCAGGAAACTTTAATTCGATCGTAAACCAACAGCGTTGATGGGCAGTCCAGCCTTTGGAAGTTGTCCATATGAAAAAATATATGACTTCGCTGCTGTAGATTTTTTGGCTAGTTCACTCTACTTTATTATATGACTAATCTAGTTATTAGAATCCTTCTCAAGCTACCTTCCTACACAAATAATCCGCACATAGGAGAAAGAAAATTATGACGACGTTTCGGTCCGATTTGAACCATTAACCAGCTTAATAGTCTAAGTTGAGCGAAACGTCGTCATAAGTCTCTTTCTCTTATGTGCGGGTTAATGTATTGTTCAAGTCACGGTATTGTTCCTTTTTTGTTCATGCTAGCTTCGTATCCAGAGTAAAAGACAAACTGTGAGCAAGCTTTTGTGACAAAATTTCGCTTAGTTTTCGGCTAAAGCTTTATCACTATAGAGATTTTCCCTGCATTTATGCATTTTAGTCGATCCTCTCCACTGTGTCTAACTTCGTGATTCTTTTAATAATTACTTTTCAACTGAGTACTGGCATTTTTTCCCCTACTACAGCAGGCAGAGAGCACTCGTCTATTTAAGACCCGAAACACGTCACTACGATATACAATTTTCCTCCATAAATATGACCCCGACAGTCTTCTTATTTTACCAATCTTAAAAAGGATTGCTGTAGACCTGAAGGCAAACTATGTATAACAGCGAACTGGACAACGTTCTAGTGACACTTGGTGGTATAGTACAGTGAACCTCCACCGAGTTCTAGTGACACTTGGTGGTATAGTACGGTGAACCTCCACCGAGACACTCAAGGGATAGCTGAGCCAAACCTTCAGTGAATGACACTTAAAGATGCGAGCTGAACCTCCATTGAAGGACTCTTAGAGGTATGCGGATAAATGGTTCAGAAAACCGACAAGTTGAAAAATAAGAGACTTGTGCAACATTTGCGTATTTTTATTCTGGAAACGTTTCGTCAGCAAGTGGCTGCTTCAGTCCAATACAGAGAAGAACGATAGTTGATGAGGAGTTTGAGGTAATTCACTTCCATCTTATCTTTAGTCGATGTGTTCGCACATCAAGGTTTATCGAACACATTGATTCTAGGACTATGGAGACTAGATATATACAAACTACTCGAGTATTCAGTCCTCGCACTGGATACTGCACAGATCACTGGTGGAGTAAGTTCAGGAAAAAGGCATGGAAACTGGCGCTTTTTAGCTCTGAAGAGTACAGCGAATCATAAGGTAGGGGGAGACACCGAACAGAAGGTCCAATAAACGGGTTGGGCACAAGGCGAGAGTTTGAAACAAGACCATGAGAGGTTTTCTAGAAGTTGTGCAGGGTTGAAATACGACAATTTGTGCTGATGCTTTCTTTGTTCATCAGAGTTTGAGATATCCTCCCTGACCTGGTGGCGAGCTTCGTACATCAAGGCAATGACATTGATTCCAGGCTGAGGGACTTGATTACCTCAAACTACTCATCTTCCACCTTTCTCTCCACTGAACTGAAGAAGACACTGGCTGGAGAAACGTTCCCAGAATAAAAATAACCGAATGTTGCACAAATGTCTCCTTTATCAGCTCTCAGAAGTAAGCTGAATCTATAAAGAGTGACGCTGAGACAAACCGAACAGAACGTCCAATAAACGACGCTTGGGAAAAGTGCGAGCAATTTAAAAACACCACAGAGGTTTATTAGTAAGATATTTCAGGGGTGGAAATATGAGAATGTGTGCTGATGCTTCCTTTGTATCATATTTACGGTGCCCCGTGACCTGGTGGCTAAAGCTCTCACTTCAAACGGCAAGGGCCCGGGTTCGATTCCCGGCGAGGGTAGAAACACTGAACGTGATTCTTTACACCGGGTGTCTAAGTTCCCCATCAGTAAAATGGTTGCGTGGGTGCTAGTCAACTGGTGTGGGTCGCATCCTTGGACAACACTGACCTAATTTGCCCGAAATGCTCTGCATAACAAGCGGCTTTCTGTGTAGTAGTACGTCACTGATGTCAGGCTTGTATACCTTATACATGTACTTGTAGAAATAAGGATTATTATTTGCGGACGATACCAAATTAAGCATGAAAGTCACCTCGGTAGAAGACAGTGGTCGGTAGAAAATAACATGATGTAGAATGAGACACTAGTTCAATATTTAGGAATCTTTGTTAAGGAGACGTTACGGCAGCCAGTGTTTTCTTCTGTCCAACTGGGTTAAAGAAGCCACTGGCTGGCGA